CTGCCAGCCCTCCATGATCACTTAGCATTCTGAGATCTTTTTCTGTTAAGAACAAAGTAGATCTCCCCACTTCTCAATTTTGATCCTGAACAAAATTCTACTTCTGCAAAATTTGTTCCATCCCTGCTCAAAAAAATCATCCCAGCCAAGGTGGCGCAGTGGTTAAATGCAGCACTGCAGGCTACTTCAGCTGACTGCAGTTCTGCAGTTCGGCTGTTCAAATCTCACCGGCTCAGGGTTGACTCAGCCTTCCATCCTTCCGAGATGGGTAAAATGAGGACCCGGATTGTTGTTGGGGGCGATATGCTGACTCTGTAAACCGCTTAGAGAGGGCTGAAAGCCCTATGAAGCGGTATATAAGTCTAACTGCTATTGCTATTGCTATTGCTAAAGAGATGCTTTGTTTATCATGCTACTTGTTTTGCATGGTGTTCAGACTGCATTTGTTGTTACAGAGTGTCATTTGTGGATCATCAGAAACACCACATATCTAGAGAGTCTGTTCCACACCTAGATTGTCCAGGGGTCTTGCAAGAATAAAATTGAACACAGTTTCTATTTGAACCTGTGTAAGAGTAGTGAAAGTTTCAGCTGCTTAATAGGCTAAACATTGCACACATTTTCCCAGAGTTAAAAGAATGTTCTCTTCGCCAACTCCTCAAGGCCTTCTGCATCTAGCTTTTTGCTTGCCACAGCAAAGGAATGAGAAACATTTTTAAATGTCCCTTCTAGTTTCTATTGCACTTCGTCCTCATTAGCTTTGTCTGGTAAAGCAAGTAGTAGACCCTACCTGGAAAAAAAGGAATAAGAGTCTACATCAGGGGTGTCAAACTCAAGGTCCGGGGGCTGGATCTGGCTCAGAGGGTACTTAGATCTGGCCTGTGGAGCCACTCGGGAAACAGCGAAGGACCAGCCTGTCGTGCTTATGCAAGGTCCTGAACTCTGTTTTCGGCCGCCACAGCCTCCTGCAACCCTCTGCCAGTGAAAATGGAGCTCAGGATCCTCTTTTTGTTGGCAGAGTGCTCAGGCCATCACAGGTGCCCCCGACTGGAGTGACGTCGAGCTAGCCATGCCCATCCCGGCCACGCCCACCCCAGCCCTCCAAGGTCAAACAAAGCTCTAATGCGGCCCTCAATGAAATCAGGTTTGACACCCCTGGTCTTCACTGATAACTTTAAGATTAGACTACTGCAGTACATTTTCAGAACTTGCAATTGACTGAAAATATAGCTGCACAGGTGGGTAGATGTTAGTGATAGAAGAGAAGATTTGTAGCTCAGGGTTGAAATGTGGGTCCTTGGTGCTCTGTGAGCTTGCTTATTTTCTTGTAGACATTTTATTACCAAATTAGGTAATATCATCAATGCAATAGGTAGAGACTTCCCTGAAGTCTCTTTCATTACTTTCCCATTGAAATAGCTTCTTCCGAGTCCAATTTAAGCGCTTAAACAAAGCAAGTATCTTGAATTTGGTAAGTTATAATCTGATTTCTTTGCAAGGTGAATTCAGTCGTGATTTGTAAACCATCAATTGTACCAAACATGTGTGAATGTAGCCAATAGTGTATTTCATCAAATCAGGATTTTAAAAAAAGACATGACTTAGCACAATGTGTGAATCCAGTTAATGGGACTTACAGCCAAATGCATATGCAAGGATTTTACTCAGGGGTGAAATTCAGCAGGTTCTAGAGAACCGATAGTGGAAATTTTCAGTAATCGGAGAACTAGCAAATACCACCTCTGGCTGGCCCCAGAGTGAGGTGGGAATGGGGATTTTACACTAACCTTCCCTTGGAGTGGGGAGGGAATGGAGATTTTGCAGAATCCTTCCCCTGCCACGCTCACCAAGCCACACCCACAGAACCGGTAGTAAAAAAAAATTGAATTTAACCACTGATTTTACTATAATTAAAGTTAAGGTCATTTCCTGCATAGTTGAATTATAGCTTGTACCAGTAGATTTTTTTCCTTTGAAGCCCTTTTGCAAGTTAGTGAATTTCATGGTATACGGTGTTTGATCAATAAGAACCTTTCAGAATGTTACATCTTCCCGGAGTAGATAGGCGAAAGAGGAGGCTTTCCCATTCATCATGTCTGAGGCAGAGACATTTTTTAAAAATTTAAGATTGAGAAGCAGCAGACTGAAGATAGGTCACATCAGGGGGGGGGAGCTGCTGTAATACCAAGTGTGTGCTTAAAGATAAGGCTGTTGCTTCCCCTGCTGCTGTTTAATACTTTCACTGTCTGCTGAAAACTTTGCAAATGGAATATTTTTTTAAAAAGCAATTGTGTTTTTATAAACACTTTGAATGTCTGTAGTGGGAACAAATCAGAGTAGCTGTAAGCTGCTATGGGTGGAGACCCATGTTAGCCTATGCTGTGGTAGCACCTTTTCTGCCTCACTCATTTTATTAAAAGGAATTCACTTTATGAGCTACAATTCATTTCATCAGATGCCCAGCAAGGCACAGTAGACAAATGGGGCAAACTTTGCCCATAAGGATTAATGGACGCAAGCGTGATAACAGGATTTAAAGCAAGGACAAGGTACTTATTGGACCATTTCAAAACCCAGGACACACGGTGGCAAATCTCAAAGTGGTCATTGGGGGCGGGGGGGATGTAAACTTTAACAGCACCAATAAATAAGAGATGGCTGAACTCAACTACAGGTAGTCCTCAACTTACAACAGTTCGTTCAGTGAGTATTCGAAGTTACAATGGCACTGAAAATAGTGACCTATGATTCTTTCACCCTTATGACCGTTGTAGCATCCCTGTGGCCACGTGATCAAAATTTAGGCACCTGGCAATTGACTTATATTTATGATGGTTCCAGTGTCCCAGAGTCATGTGATCAGCTTTTATGACCTTCTGACAAGTAAAGTCAATGGGGAAGCCAGTTTCACTTAACAACCAAGTTGCTAACTTAACAACTGCAGTAATTCACTTAACAACTGTGGCAGGAAAGGTCATAAAATGGGGCAAAACTCACTTAAATGTCTCGCTTAGCGACATACATTTTGGGTTTAATTGTGGTTGAAAGTCAAGGAGTACCTTATGTCAGACTATTTCAAAACATTTTAGCAAATACAATGGGGTTTTAACTTGTTATAATTTTTTTTAGACAAGCCTCTCTTTGCATCTGATGAAGTAAGTGGCATCTGGCAAAAGTTTTGCCTTTTAATAACATTTGTTAGAGGGAAAAGTGTGTCTAGACTCCTTGTGATTATAAGGCGCATGGAAAGCTTGAGAACAGAGCAGTGGACTAGAGTGTGAAGCAACCTGGACTACAGCTTTCTAATAATCCCCTTTTACAATACCTTATAGTCAGAGATCATGGGTTCATGAGAATTATAATCCTAAACACCTGGAGGGCACCAACTGTGCTGAACTACAATTTTAAGAAAGCACAATTTGGGAATTAATGGAAAATATGATCCCGCAAGAGCAGTAAACTGGGGAAAACTGATATCTTCCCCAGGGCTATATGTCATAGGATGATGTTCGTCCATTGTGTTCAAAGAGGACCTTGACATCTAACAGGTTGTCAGCTGTCCACCATGTGTCCGCAGGTGGCTGGTAAGGCCTATACGAGCATGAAATGTTCTACCACATGTTGGACAGACAGGTGTGGCACCATTGTTGCAGCAGCATTTGCAGCTCTGGCTTTGCGGAGTGCTCACTTCTCTTGTGCTATGCATATCATAGGAAAGTATTCATAGAAGGCCCATTTAATGGCTGGATTTATTTATAAGCTTTTCATTGCATTGATACTTGCATGTTGGAAAAAGTGGTGTGATAAATCTGACTGTACTTCAAAGTGAGACCAGAATTATTTCTCTAAATAGAAATTAATGGAATGTTACAAAGGTAACATGCAATGCAATATTATTTGCCTACTTCCTGATTTCCCAGTGGGAATTAAATTTTGCTCACGGAAAATAGTTTCCTTACTGGATAACATGAATCTAGTGTTCTGGCAGAAGAAAAACCAAACACACAAAATGTTTATTGTATTATCAATAGGATTAGGCCCAGGAAAAACTCATAAAGCTCATACTATTTCTACTTATTACTTTACTTAGGATACAGCTGGACAAGAAAGGTACAGGACCATCACGACCGCTTATTACAGAGGAGCAATGGGATTCATCCTGATGTATGATGTTACTTGTGAGGAGTCCTTCAATGCTATACAAGACTGGTAGGGACAGTTCAAAGTTATATCTTTTTAAAAAAACAGTTTCAGCAAAGGTGATCATGTATGAGATCAGCTTACACCAAATTTTGTAAGACAGGAAAGGAAATCCAGCTGTTTAACAAATGTTTTGACCTAATTTTATGTTCCTTCATTTAATTATTTTCTTTGATTCTGTCAAATGTGTACAATAATTTCAGATTTCTAGTCCAATTCCATCCTCAGAAAGAATACAATGGGACTTGATTGCAGCAGATAAAATATGCATAGGATGTTGAATGTCCTCAAAGATGCTCCATTAATGCACATCAGTTTTTCTCCCCCTTTTCCTGGACCTATTTTGTAGTCCAAATATTCTTCTAATGGCATTCACTGTCAACTCAAGTTCATTTCACAATGTCAATGAATAACATCAGTCCTGCCTAATGTTTATTTATGAGATTTCAGAGCAACTCTAATTATACAGAGTGTGTCTGTATTACCAGAAGCTATACATCATTTTACCATCTGTGTGACAGTATGTTGTCCAACCTTCAAACACTGACACAACATTTCTTTGAATATAATTCTGATTCAAAACATTTGGCAGTGATCCAATATACTTGAATACATTTTAGATTTAGATGGGAAAAGGGTGTCTTCCACTAGTCAAAAATCCTGGAACGAATGAAGTCCACTTTTCAGAACCTCTAAAATGTATCGAGATGTCACATCTTGGTGGCAAAGCATGCTTTTTGGTCTAGACATCTTAAGCTAGCAAGTAAGGCCACCATAAAGTCCCTAAATAAGTAAAATCAGCACTCAAATACAGAGCAGACAGTTATTCTGCACAGATTGACCTTAATTCAATGGCTGTCAGAATAGACATGGATAGCATCAAAATATCTTCAAGGAAGTGATCCTTTCCCTCTAGCCTGTCTCTTCAGGATGATCCTGGTAGCTCTAAGCTTATACCTGCCGTTTTTCTTTGCAGAAAAAGCCACTGGGCCATAATAACAGCTGGTCATTTTCACTTGTGGAGAATATTGATGGTACCATGAAGGATCCAAAGCATTTCTGGACATAAAGATAATACTAGAGACTGGAGTTTACCACTTTCCCATTTTATAATTGAAAACAAATGTTTTAAAAATTAGAACCATGCAGGGGTATGAAGGATATGTTTGGTCCTATTGGCGTCAGCAGGGCGAAGATACCAACCGCAATAAAATGAGTAGAATAAAGTATTGTTCTTCTCAACCACAGCCATATTTTGAAATGTATCATGAATACTGTGAAATATTGTTTATAATAGATAACAGCATACGGGTGTTTCTGATTTACGTAAATCTAGGTTTTATTCATTTTGATCTCAACTTATTTACAAATTAATCACATTTATATGGCTGCCCATCTCACAGAAGTGAGTGAAAAAGTTACAGCTATTTGAAATGCAAAAATGACCTCTATTTACACACACAGACACTTCATTTCATGGACCAGAAAGGCTTGGGTAGAAGTTGAGTGCAATATTGCATCGTTCATTAGAGACAAAATCCTCTTAAAATCAATGGGGCTGACTAATGTTAAGTGAAACAATTACCTAATAATGTCCTCCAGGCAGGAGACAGTCATTTCTTAGGGGTGTTTTGGTTTGCATTTCTTCATGAGTTACTTGTTTGATTTAATGGCTTAAAGCAGTGATGGCTAACCATTGTCTTGTGGCATGCTGAAAGTGTGTGCACACTCACCCATAATGCAATGTGTATGCGACCCCTCCCTCCATGCACCCCGCACCCCATGCTTGCATGCCTGATGTCCCCTGCACTCCACCAGCTGAGCTCGGGTGATGGCCCGTGTGCCCACATAGAGGGCTCTGCGTGCCACCTGTGGCACACATACCATAGGTTCACCTTCACAGGCTTAGAAGTTCCATAGAATTACCATAATATAATTATCAGTAGTCCTATATAAAATTATACAAAAATAATCTCAAGTCCATGGCATTCTGTGGGGAGGACATGAAAATCTGTCAGCCTTCTAGGTCACTTCTAGCACCCAAAAATGATAATTTGGTTAGGTTTGTTTGCCTTCAGTTCACATATATAATTTCCATGATAAGGTTCCTGCATAATTATTTTTAAACAAGAAGTCCTCCTCTCTCCTTGACAGCAGAGGATGTAAAAGGCAACAGAGGAATCCTTGGGAAATGGTAATAGGGAATGTTCATCCATTGTCTTTCTGGTCTTCAGACAGCTCTCACTGTGGTAGGAAGGCAATGGCAACCCTAACTCTGTGACAATGCAACACTTCCCAGGCAGCTGATAGCCTTGTTGCTCTTTAAATCGCACCTCCCTGCAATAATTATTTCACATATCAAGGAGTGGTTTTAATTTATGCTTTTTTTCATAAAAAGAGAAATATATTACTTCTTGTAGCAAATTTGTACTGTGCCAGTTCGGATCATGTGCCTGCTGCTGCCCTCAGTAATGTGGTCAGATTGAGTCAAACATTCCCCATCAGTGAGTTTAACAGCATGGTTCTAGGTCAGCAAAACAGCATGCAATATTATTGGAAGGATCTGTCAGCTTAAACTGCACAATTAAATTCACACGTTTCAGAGCAACTTGGGTGATTGCATTTTCATTATGCAAGAATTGGGGAAATCACTGTGTATTAAGAGAGTGATTCTCTAAGAGCTCTTTGTTATGACCATGTTACTGTGCTTTTCTCACTCTTGTGACAGAAGAAACGTATATTGGTATAAGGTACACTGTCTTTACTGTACTGTAGCTGCCACACTACATTTCTTCCTCCCACCTCCACCAATATGTCCCAAAGGAAAAAGCAATCACAAGTTGTTGGCCTGAATGTCCACTGAATATTGTTGAGAGCTCAATCTTTAATTTGGATTACCAGTATTTATTTTCTTAGCCATATTTTTAATACCGTATTTCCTAGATGCTTCCCAGAGGCATTTCCTAGAGGCATTTTGCTCCTTGCAAGAGAGTGATAATCCTATGAAATGATTTCATAGATGGTGCCATTTGGAGATTGTCTGAATTCCAACCTCCCTATTCTGAGATGATCTCCACCACCCACTACCAAAAGTCTGGCTTAATGATTGGAAGAACTGATTTTAATTAAATGGCAGAATAAATGAAACTAGAGGGGCCTTGGTGCTTTTGTGCATTTGGATTTTTCATTCCTTTCTTCTTCTCTATGAATTGCTTATGACCATGCAAAGAAACCTTCTCTACCTCAACCCTCCATTCCACATTTGTATCTCCGTGTTACATATTTTTCACACTTTATAATATGCACAGCACATACACATGTCAAATAGCAGCATTGCTAGTAGACAGCTCTATCAATCCTCTGAGAGTTTGCTATTCCAGTGCAAAGAAAAACAGGCCAGGTGTTTACCGTCTCTTGTTGACCAAAGACAAAACGACCATGAAGGCACTGTGATGAATGACTAAATGACAGTGGAATTTCCACAGCAGGCTGTTCAGACCAACAGGAGTGGGTTATCTCTGGGTCATCCCCAGGCTCATTTCAGAGGCACCCTAAATCAGTGATGATGAATCTTTTTGGCACCGAGTGCCCAAAATGGAACGCATGTGCTGGATCGCCGGCAGCCCAAAGACCAGCTGGCTGGCGCACACATGTGCACCGGCCAGCTGGTCTTTGGGTTTCTGGAACGTGCATGCATGCCAGCCAGCTGGTCTTCGCATGCACCAGAGCATCCGAAACCCAAAGTCCAACTGACGATGGCAAGCATGCCCACAGAGAGGGCTCTGCATGCCACCTCTGGCATGCATGCCATACGTGTCCTAGATTGTCTCCAAGAGAACTCTTGGATAGGGAGCATAAAAGAAACACCCAAACTAGAACTATTAAAGAAAGTTTCAAAAGTTCCTCAGGGCTGTGGATGAGGTTGTGGTAATCTGAGTCCCAAAGTCTCACCAACACCAACTTTTTACAGTTTTGGCTGCCAACAAGATTGATGGGTCACTTTCCTCTCGCATTAATGGAAGAAACACTGAAACTGTAATGAGAGTTTCAAAATGGGCTAAAGGTGGTTAAACACATACAGACAGAAACAAATCACGCTTAATCAAATGAATGAAACATACTGGTAACATTCTAGGTTGGTGGTCCCCAACAGTGGTGGGATCCTCCCAATTTAACAACCAGTTTCACAGTTTGAAGAAATCTTCACTTCCCAGTTTCTTCGGAGGAGTAACACAGCTGATTTATGTGGCAATCTGCTCTGCTGCACAAATCAGCTGAGAACATAAAGGTAGGAAAATAGGACGGGCAGGCAGGTGTGGCCATCTGATCGTCGGGGAGAACCGGTTCGCTCCCAGCTGATCATCGGAGCTACCAGTTCGTCCAAATCAGTCTGAACCGGTAGAATCCCACCCGTTGTCCCCAACCTTTTGAGCACCAAGGATCAGTTTAGGGAAAACAATTTTTCCATGGAGCAGGGGTGTGTGTGTGGTTTTGTGCTCTACCTAGATCCCGCGCACGGACAGATGAAGCTTTGCTCACTTGTGAGACCAGTTCCTAACTGGCCACGGACTGGTATCAGTCCATAGCCCAGGGGTTGGTGACCCCTGTTCTAGGTTATGTTCCAGCTCCTTGTGCATTTTTGCTAAAATTATGGCTTTGTCCTGTCCTGTATATTAAGCAGAAGGTGGCCCTGTCCTGAGTGTTAAGCAGAATTAGACCCAATGGAATCAGTGGCATTTAAATAAATCATGACTAACTTAAATCCTACTGATTTCATTACATCTTCCCTAACCATTATTAAATCTTCCTTGAACTCATTGGCCTATTTACACTAACATCAGTGGGAATGTAATATTCAGGAGATGAATGCAAGATGAAAAAAATAACCTAATTAAAAAACCTGTAAAGCAAAAAAGTGTCAAGGACTAAAACGTATTCAATGTTAATAGAACAGGCACTTCACAAGTTGTATCACTCTGTGAAAAGTTCAAGATGTACAGTCAGCTCTGAAGAAGTGCTGAACACCTCATTTCATACCAAAACTAGAAAAATGGGAAGGAATGAGAGAAAAGGCCACGTTCGTTGCTCAATTTAATCATCTCATTATTCAGTGAGGGGGAAAAACTTGGAGATGCAAAGGAGGTAACTATGGCTTACAGGTTATATTGCTCTAATTTCCTTTGCTTTACTGATTAATGCTATAAACCTGTGTACACATAATGGACTAATACAAATATCATATGGCAAACAGACAGAATGCCACACTGAAAAGAAGATAATTGTGCAGAGTAAGGAAGATGACATTGGTAGAAATATGCAGGAACCATTACCTAAACTGAAGCATTTTAAATCACAACAATAAGATAATATTCAAAGCTAGCTCAGGGAGATTCCTCCCTAATTCAATGAAGTACAAGGAAGTAGATAAGGAGGAGAAACTACTGCTTTTAGAGTGACTATTGTATTGAGCATAGCCATTGAAAAAGGAAAGTGTCTTGTGACAAAAATGTACACTTTTAAATTTTGAAAATGTACACTGTGTTTCTATGTCACTGCCGTTTTTGCCACCTCAACTATATAAAATGGGTTGATACAAATTAATCTGGAGATATACCCAGTTACCTGAAAGACTTCCTCTCCTTTTAGAAAAGGCCCTGACTATTTTAATTGTGATAAGAGAAGCAACATTGTCCCCCATTTTGGAGAGATTAGTGAAGCCAAAACCCAGAAATGTTTTCCCATGATATGACTGGCCCTGTGGAATGTGGGGCAGTATGATATAGCTAAGTACCGGTAACCATTGCACCTGAGTGGGATATAATGTGCCAGTGAGTTGATCAAATTGGAGAAAGCTTCTGTGATTTTTTTTTCAGAAACCTGCATAGATTAGACTTTTGTATTGCTACAATTTCCCAGAGCCAACAAGAAGAAATGTATTATATTCTGCAAACATATAAAATTTAGGCATTTGCAGCATCATGTTCTAAGATCTTTTATTTCCCCATAATTTTTGCACTGAAATAAAATCTGAGACCATAACTAGGAATGTTGAATCATGATATGGCTGCCAAAATACATCTTCGTATATATTACCATGCATAATATTTCTCTTAGTATGGAAAGAATCTTAGTTAATATTTAGCCTTAACATTATTTTAACTATATCTCTGTTGTAGTATGAATATAACATGCAACTGCAAACAGCTGTGAAAAAATCCAAACCTAAATATGTTATGAAATTGTCTGCAATTTTCAATGACTTCTTCAGAAGTAAGCATCACTGAATTCCATATTTATTCTCAGGTAAATTTGTATAGGCTTGCCGGTGGGAGAATTCACCATCAACATTAACTATGGTACTAATTACACTTAGAGCTGTTAAAGTGTGAAGCTTAAGAGTATCATTTCATTACCAATGGGTGCTGAAATGCCAAAAAATTGCCATTGGCTCTTCCTAGATTAGTTATTACTATTCCAACATTGATTTAAACTAGGCCCTATCAGCAAGGCTAGTGATAAATATTCAACAGGTGTGCTGAAAAAAATGCATACATTTTGACTGGCTGACACTGTTTTTAGATGAGAGGCTCAGGGTGGATTGACCACTGATAATCAAAAAGATTGTAGAAATGAATTCTATCTTTATCGTGTATGTGATAATGAATAAATGAATTATCATATGTGATAATTTTAAATCAGAAAGCAAACTCCGTCAGCAATCTCAAAGACTCAGATTTTGACAATATAAATAGGAGGAGATATATGGAAATATTCCATTAACTTGGGTCTGTTTAATTCGATAGAAATTGTTCATGGTAAGTATGCTGGCTAGCTGAAGTATATTAAAATTACAGCGCAATGTGGTTTACTTGAATTAATTCATGTTTTTAACCTTGTGGCTCCCCCTGCAGGATATAAAAGAGTATTTTTGCCTTCGTGATGCCTTCTAAAAGCATTGTTTCATTAGCTTTTCAAATTCTAAATATAGAAAAGAGAAGGGGTAATGAAGTAAAACATCTTTTAAACCTACTTTTTCCCTTTATTTTTAATATATGCATTATGAATTTAAATGGGATAAATGAACATGATAGCCTATTTCATCAATATTTGAGCCAGGCTTGTTAAAGGAAAGCTTGCAGGTCTGCTAGTTGGAGCTGCACAAGACTTGCCGAATAGCTTGGAAAATAGAGCTCTTCCAATGAACGTATCTTAAGAAACAGTATTCTAAGCTAATTTTATAGGCAAATACTAAGGTGTTGGCTCACATGTAAAGCAATGGGAATTTCTAGAACGAAATGCTTTGTAATAATAGTAACAACAATATCTTTGTAACAACAACACTGGATGTTTTCAAGCTGTTGCTGTTGTTTTGAGGTTGATGGATTTCTGTAGCTACAATTCACAGCAAATCAGATTGTTGTCTTTTTTTTTTTTACAGGGCCACTCAAATAAAGACATATTCCTGGGATAATGCGCAAGTTATTCTGGTGGGGAATAAGTGTGATATGGAGGATGAAAGAATTATTCCTATTGAAAAAGGAAAACATTTGGCTGAACAGTTGGGTACATGATCAACCTTATCTTATTTTTTTCCTCCTCCTCTCCCTTTCTTCCCCGACCTATAGCCACATTTCATCTTTACCAGCTTTTCCAGATATTATTTATTATCAGCAGACAAATCAGTGTTGAGATAATCTCAAAGCCATATGTCTGTCATTGTGTCTAAGGTTTTTATCCCTCTAAACATGAAAATTGAGTTAGCAATGTTTTCCAGTTCCAATATTTGACTCAAGTAAGGCCTGTAGGAATCCTTTCCCCATTACTTTATTTCACAACAGGCCTTCTTACTGCTTTGTGTTTTCCCTTTCAGATTAAACTTTGTGCCTACCCTTTCCTGTTCCTCTCCTTGTCCAGTATACCTATTAATGAATTGATCCATTTCATATGCCATTATAACTATACCAGCCTTCTGCTTATGCTTCTATTCTGACATCTCAGTTTGTATCAGGGTTCAAGCAGGGGTGGGCTTCAAAAATTTCAGCAACGGGTTCTCTGCTCAGTTGCTGGGTAGGCGTGGCTATGGTGAATGTGGCCTAGTCCTGCACCACGGCAGGGGGGGGGGTCACCTTTCCCAGGCTATGGAGACTTTCCTCAAGCCTCTGGGAGGGCGAAAACTGCCTCCCCTGGGCTCCAGAGGCCTTCTGGAATATCCGTAATTCCCCCTCCTCAAGCCTCCACTGTGACCCTTGCACTTATCTCGCATCCAAAACGGGCCGTGTGGAGACTCCTGGGAGGGGCGTTGGCAGGGGTGGGGCATGGAGGGCATGGCCAGCCAGAGATGGGATTTGGAGGTGCTCCGAACCAGCCATAACTTTAGCAATGGGTTCTCCCAAACCTGGACGAACCTGTAGCAGCCCACCTCTGGGTTCAAGTCTTAAACTTCTCTAAAAACTTCTCCTTTCTCTCTCATTACCTAACCCTTCATTCAACCCCACTGTGTACTCTGATGTTTAAATTGTATGTAACTAGATTTCTGTATCTGCAGGGTTTTCTTGTTTTTGTTTATTCTAGTCATGGCTCCAGGATCTTAGTCTGATACTTATCACTGTCTTTCCACTACTTTGCAGCAGATAAGATTACAGTGTCACGCAAATAGGTAATCACTGAAAGCTGACTTGGAAGTACATTGACTCACATAAAAATAAATGCTGGGCTTATGCACCCCACTAAACATGAGATTGCTTAAATACACTTTAATTTCTCATTAAATTTATATGACGCCCATCTCCCCAATAAGGTGATTTTATTCAATAAGCACAGTTGGATTTGCACAATATCGTACCATTGATTTAACAAGGATAATTTCTAAAACTAAGAAGTGAATTAATACATGAAATATGAGTACAGTTGCATCAGAGAAACTGAATGTGCCGTAGAATGCAAAACCAAGGAAGATTAAAGGAAGATCAGGCTTAAAAACATACACATCAGCTTTGGCTGAACATCTCTGGCAAGATTCAAATCACAAAACAGGCCTGAGGAATGTCAGCACCCTGGCAATTATAACAGCTATTTTTCCAGAATTCTTAGGGAAGTAATAGAAATGATAAACATTGAAACAAGGAGGGAAATTATCAGCAGTATATTTATATGACAATCAATGACTGGTTGTGGGAATTCCACTCCACATATAGGATCTATAGGCCTGAGATATTGCCAAACTGTTTCAGATCTTTGAAGAGTATAGCAGCACAGCTAGAAAAAAAAAGTCACATATTCATTGTCTCACAAAACATTTCCTAGAAATCATGTCACTGATAAAGGTGGCTGTGAAATCCTACAATACATGATTAAATGTTATAGTTTAACAAAATGTGTACATTCAAAGACAGCTACCAGGTCACATTTCAAACATCACAAATTAGGTAGGTTTTCGACAAAAACAATTGTCATTGTTTAATATTTTAGTGAAGAACCAGGAGCCTGCAATTAAGTCATGGATTTAAACTTATTAGTAACAATCCCTTTATCAGGAAAGAAAGATACAGTATGTACTATGCTTTGGTCCCATTACCATAGCTGCTACTAAATATTATTACACCTCTCACACGAATTATTGGTACTTATGAACATTTATAGAAAGGCAAAGTGGGAAATAACCACAAGAGAATTGAGATGCAAAGGTATATCTGACAAATCAATGGTGCTCTATGAGAAAAAGACCCCAAACCCATAAATTTCCCACATCATCACAATGGACATACCCAATGGTTAATATATGCATTCCCTAGAAGTATGAAGAAGTAGAAGATTGTTAATTATTCAGCTTCTTAAAAAAAATATGGATTAAATACATCTTGATGTGATCGGAAAGACTCAAAGGTATTTTTTCAAAAGGCAACTAGACTTTGTTTTTCCTTGAAGACATTTTGCTTGTCATCCAAGAAGCTTCTTCCTAAAAGTGAAGAAGCTTCTTGGATGACAAGCAAAATGTCTTCAAGGAAAAACAAAGAAAGTCTAGTTGCCTTTTGAAAAAAGCACCTTTTGGTTAGTGGTTGGATCCGGACCCCGGCGCAGCCAGTATGCTGCGCACAGGGCCGGGCATCCTAGACGGGCACGTGCACTGCGTGCACATGCGCACACCACTGCCCTGCAACACCCAGCTGTCTGGGGGAGGTTGCGCAAGCGCTGCACACTGTGCACATGCCCGTCTAGGATGCTCAGCCCTGTGCGCAGTATACTGGCTGTGCCAGGGTCCGGAACCAACTACTAATCGAAAGGTGCTTTTTTTCAAAAGGCAACTAGACTTTGTTTTTCCTTGAAGACATTTTGCTTGTCATCCAAGAAGCTTCTTCACTTCTAGGAAGAAGTGCCCATAGATGCCCATAGAACACAGGGGGGTGGATGGGCCAAACGAGCCACTGTACCGGTATGGTGGCTGCGTCTCCCCGCTACTCCCGGTATGGCTATACTGGGCTGTATCGCCCGGAACCTACCACTGCTTTAGGTCGTCTTCAAGATGTATTTAATTTTGCTTGTCATCCAAGAAGCTTCTTTAGTTTTGAAAAAGTTTCTTAGATGAGAAGTGAAAAAGCTTCTTGGATGAAAAGCAAAATGACTTCAAGGAAAAACAAGTTCAGGTTAAATTGTCCTTTGAAAAAGCATATTTGGGACAACCATGAGCTGAATGATTAAGAATTTCCATAGATTTGGAAAAGCTTTTCTTATGTTATTAGCAAAACTTCAAATTCAAAATCACTTATTAGTTACATTTTACTAGTGAGGATGTTCAGAATACACCCTTATGTTGCACAGATACATTAATGGACTACTGAGCTTCTTATGGAAATCTTGCAGAACCCAAGTAGGCAGAATCTGGAATACATACCCCCAGTTGGACCAGTCACAGATTAAATGCTTTCAGAAACTTTCTTTTATATGGTGTGAGACAATGACAAACCATCTTACATCCTCTGAACCTGAGGTGTTGTTCTTGTAAGAAACCAGCTGCTTATGAACTGAGCAGAAGATTTAACTCTAAAGTAGTATGAAGTGCAACCTTGGGATAAGCTGATCACTGATTTCTCTTACTTTGTTCCAAAATAAAAACTAGGGTTTGATTACTTTGAAGCCAGTGCGAAGGAGAATATCAACGTGAAACAGGTCTTTGAGCGTCTTGTGGACATCATTTGTGAGAAGATGTCAGAGAGCATGGAATCAGAAGCTTCAAAGGCTACTGCTGGGAAGAATGTGCGGCTCACATATCAGCCACCACCACTGCAGCAGAAGTGCTCCTGTTAGTGCCTCAAAATTCAGTAGGAATTTTTTCTCTGATGAAGGAATGTTTTCTCATCATTTACTGTCTTTAGAAAGGGATGTGTCTGTTCTGGTGGAACTACTGTAAGTACATTTGTTCAGTGTCCACAAAAATCCTGTAACATATTCTGCACTATGAATAAAATAAAAAGTGGCTGTAAGTGCTAGCATTTCATTGAGAATTTATCTTAAGATTTAATATTTTATAGTGTTAACCCATTCTGAATTATGCTTGGTGTTTCTAATAATTTTATTAAAAATTGAGCCAGATAACATGAATTCAAAACACTTCTGGATCTGTTCATTAGAAGTCACTGCTAAGATTGAAGTATGGTTTAAAATAAATAGCATTTAGCTGTAATGAAGATATACTTTGGCTGCATGTTGATAAAAGACAGACACAAGTAACAGAATTATTAGCAAGTGCAGTAATGATTTTAAGATGCTGAATTGCTCCATTTCTTTCATTTTATTTTTTGGCAGTCTTTCCAACCCTATTCCACCACTCAGTCTCCAAATACTTCTGCTTATTTGATAATCAGTATCTCTGAACTCAGTGGTAATTATTAAGAAATGTAAGGAATCTTGATATAAATAAGGTTACAATGTTCTCTTCACCATTATTAGAAGAAATTCAACTGTGTTTAATGAGGCTTATTCTGTTAACCTAAATAAAATTATACATAACATTTACATAAACATATACAATGTTCATTTCATTTCAGCCATTGTATGGAGTGTAAGTAAAACAAAAATCAGTAATTGTGATTTTTTTCTCAATTTGGAATTATTACAAAAAGTTTTATTTTCTTGTATATTTATGATATATTACAAGATACTAAAAGTGCTTGTAGTGTATTTGTTGTTCTTGATAAGTTTTTGGCAAAATAAAATGTTATTTGGTAACTACAGGTTATTTTATTCATTTAAGTTGCTGATGAGTACAAATAATTATCCAAATATAGTAAGTAGGAAATTCTTTCAAATGTATGGCTATGCTCCAGAGTAAAATTCTTTTCTAAAACTGCTAGGTAGAATAAACAAGGAAATTCAGGCAATGTTAAGTATATTATAATTTATATACCATGTTAGGGCTGTAAATCATGTTGAATTCTACAGATGGCTGCCATGCTAACACCAAAGGAGAACTTATTTTTCAAGTATCACCTATGAAAGAGAAACTTGCTAGATCAATCTCAATCCCTGATGTAAAGAATTTGATTTGTTATAAATACTGATGATGCTGAAAATTGGGAAAAGTGACAAGGTTTGAGTTTCTGATATGAAAACTCCTGTTGGTGTAGATTAGAACAAGGCAGGGAAAGCATGCATAGCATAATTTCTAGCATTTGTTGCAACTTCTTCACCAGTAGCGACAATGTTCCTGTGTAACAAACATCACGTTGCTTATGTCTCTTTGCACTGTTTTGCAGTTTTTTTGAGGTTCTTTCTACTCATCAAATCAGGTCCCATTATCTTTTGAGTTACACTGGTGACACAGACAGATAAAACCTCAAGCTCCTTTGTGGAATTTTCGCCAAAGACATGTATTTCTTAATTGGGTATTAACAAAAATCTGGGATTTTCAGATACAGAAGAAAAATACACTGCTTGAATTGACTTAACTATACTATGGTTAAGAAAAACCTTACTATGAAGCCTAATATAAATAAAAATATAAATATGAAATAGTATATTTAATACATTTTACGTTTACCTTTTGCCTTCCCATCCAGCACTCCAGGTTCAAAACACAATAAAGATAACATGAAATACAATAAATTTCAGCACGAAGGTGTTCTAACACAACTGGGTCAATTGAAATTAAGTTTCCATGAAATTAAAGCAACAATTCTATTAACAGTAACCCAGAAGTCAAGTCTCAGGTAGACCCAACTTCTGATAACTTCATCGCAAAAGGTGATCCCATGACCCCAGGACACTGCAGCCATATAAATGTGAGTCACATGCCAAGCATTTGAATTTTAATCACCTGATCATGGAGACGCTGCAACGGTCATATGAAAAACGGTCATAAGTCACCTTTTTCAGTGCTGTTTTAATTTCAGCCAGTCAACAAACTGTTGTAAGTCAAGGACTATCTGTGCTACAATTAATTATGTACAGTTAATGGAATTTATGTACACCAATCTTGTATGAAAATAGAGGGCTTTTATCCACTCTCCACTTCTTTTTCTTTGCTACTTTACATTATATGAGAGGCAACATCAGGTGCTAAGTTGCAGGTGGGATCAGAGAGGTACTTCTTGGCTATCCCAAGCTAACCCCCCTTCCGTCTCTTCCCCATCCATTACATCTGCCAACATGCCACTTTTGTCTACAAATACATTAACTTCTACAAGTAGTCTTTGACTTATGACAATTGAGCCCAACATGACTGTTGCTAAGTGAAACATTGGTGAAGTGAATTTTTTCCCCTTTTACAACCTTTCTTAAGGGATGTGGTGGCTCAGTGGCTAAGACCCTGAGCTTGTCGATCAGAAAGGTTGGCAGTTCGGCGGTTCAAATCCCTAGCGCTGCGTAAGAGTGAGCTCCCATTACTTGTCCCAGCTTCTGCCAACCTAGCAGTTCGAAATGTAAAAATGCAAGTAGAAAAAATAGAAACTACATGACCACTGAGACGTCTTCGGATAGTGCTGGCTCTTCAGCTTTGAAACAGAAATGAGCACTGCCCCCTAGAATCATGAACGACTAGCACATATGTGCGAGGGGAACCTTTACCTTTACAACCTTTCTTGCCACAATTGAGTGAATCACCAGAGTTTTTAAATTCGTAATGCTGTTAAGGGAATCTGGCTTCCACATTGACTTTGCTTGTCAGACGGTGGCAAAAGGGGATCACAGGATGCTGGGACACTGCAACCGTCATAAGTATGCATCAGTTGCCAAGCGTCTGAATTTTTATCATGTGACCATGGTCGCAAATGTGAACAATGGTCATAAGTCACTTTTTTCAGTGCCACTGTAACTTTGAACGGTCACTAAATGAACTGTTGTAAGTCAAGGCCTACTTGTACTACATCCAGTGCAAGAACCCAATATAAGAAATGTAGGATAAAATTTCCTTTCCTAGAGAGTTAAGAGATCTCCCACCAGCTCCAACCAATGAGTGCGGAACGCCGAGAGTCGTTGTCCGACAAACTCAAAATACACCGAAGTTGTTGATCCATGTCGCAGAGTAACCCAAACCGTTTTTCCTTACACCCTATTCTACCGCCACGAACAAGAATTCCCGTGTCTTGGTCGAACGTCAGGACGGACGTCACACACTTGCACAGAAAAGCAACATTCCATTCCGAACGGCTCGGCCGCTGCTGGCAGAGAGCTAGCAATGCTTGGCTCTGCTCCCGCCTCCTCCGCCCCTGTACGTATCTATCAGAGAAGCGATTTTCCGAGAAACCTCGGGATTTGTTGGCGGGGATCACGTGGGCAAGAAGCCTGGCTTCTGATTGGACAACAGCCGGTATGTTCAGCCCCTTAGCACTGGCCTGTGATCTTGGAGGCTGAAACGGCCGGGCCGGGCTTTGGGCCCGCGGCGGATGCGGAAAGTGTTAGCCGCTGTATCGCGGAGTTGCTCGGGAGTAAGTCCGCTGCGAATAGATCGAGACTTCCACGGTCGAGATCGTGCCGGCCTGAGAGACCATCTAGCCGGGCCCCGGAAGACCTTCGCCTTCAGGCCCATCGTGCTTCGCTCCTCCGCAGTCATCTTCGTAACCATGCCGGGTAGAACCAAGGCCTCGCCTGCCTGCGGTCCTGAGCAGCCCGAGGACTCGGAGGGCAGCCGTGGGGCCAAGGCCGGCGCTGTCCAGGAAGAAGCCGATGCGGAGAGCGGAGGCGCCGCCGCCGCCTCCTGCGAGCCCAGCCCTAACTTGGGCGATCCCGAGATCGTCAAGTCCCCCAGTGATCCCAAACAGTACAGGTACTCCCGAGATGCCCCCGCTGGCTGCCAAACACGGGCGGGTGGGTCGGATTGACAAGCTTTTTTTTAACCAAAAGGTCGCCCGGAAGAATTGAACCATACTTTCTCTCACCCACAGCCACAACATGGCTTGACGTAGCGATGGTAGTCTGATTTTATTTGGAGAGATCTAGAAGGTGAGAGGCTGATGCTCTATGCTGAAGGCCACCCTCACCAATTCATTGCCTTAAAAGAAAAGTGTGTGTGTGTGTTTGTGTGTGTGTTCAGTACAGTAGTTTCAACACTAGACAAGGGAGGGGGACAACAAATCATTCAGGGTTGGTCTTTCAGTTATTTGCAGATTGTAGTAATTTAGATCCTTTGTTGGGAGGCAGGTTGCAGAGGATGCTCATGTTTTGCTTGTGAGCAATCTCTGAGGACAGGTAGTCCTTGACTTACGACCACAATTGAGCCCAAAATTTCTGTTCTGCCTAAGTGAGACATTTATTAAGAGAGTTTGCCCCATTTTACGACCTTTCTTGCCACAGTTGTTAAGTGAATCGCTGGCTGTTAAGTTAGTAACATGGGATGTTAAGTGAATCTGGCTTCCCCATCAACTTTGCTTGCCAGAATGTTGCAAAAGCAGATCGTGTGACCTTTCAAATGTCATAAATATGAGTAAGTTGCCAAGCATCTGAATTTTGATCACTTGACTATGGAGATGCTGCAACGGTCATAAATCTGAAAGATAGCCGTAAGTCTCTTTTTTCAGTGCTGTTGTAACTTCAAACAGTCACTAAATGAACTATCTGATCAGCCTTGTGTTTGAAACAAGATATTAGGTAGGACTAATGTTCCGATCCAATCTAATATGTGGATTATTGAATTATTACCACTCAAGATAATTTACCAACCATGGATTTGGATTTGTCCCCAGAAGTTCAGAGCCATGTTTGGGCATAAACCATCCAGCTTAGTATTTAGTTAAGTTATAGAAAAATTCTGCTTCTGAGATGAAAATGGCATATAACTCAAAAGGATACTTTGCTATGAAAGAAAGTTTGGAAATATAAATGATTCCTGAATATGTGCATTTGACATGAAAGTGGGACTCACTGTCAGAATTGGAGCTTATTTTAGGTAAGTATGTATTTTTCATTCTTGTGTGACACCCATAATAGAAGACCAGTAATCTGAACTGTTCTGTGGAGTAAGTGTATGCTAATATTCGGTGGGGTGAGCCACATTGTTCATTCTGGAATTAATCCATTATTACATAAGATGTATTTTAAAAACAAATGAATAGTTTAGGCCTTGTTTGATCTAATAGTTCATTAAAGAGACCCTGCAAAGACATGCTATACTAGGAATAATACAATTAGTTTTAATTCCAAGACATTGAAAATAATATTTAGTTGGATGTCTGTTTAACTTTCTAGATACATCAGACTAAAAAATGGATTATGTGCCTTGCTGATTTCGGACTTGCATAACCCAGATGGTAGCCCTTGTGCGGTATCTTCAGAGGGGGAAGATGAGGGTGACTCTGAAGAAGAAACTGATGATGATGATGATGATTCTGGAGCAGAAATAGAAGATGACCAAGAAGGCTATGATGATGAATGTGGTGATTATGATGAAGATTTAGATCCTGATAGTGAATTAGAAGAGCTAGCAGATAAAGATGAAGCTCGGAAAAGAAATTGTACAGAAAAGCAGGTATGTATAATTAATTTGGATTGAGTAATGGTTATAGCAATAAACTGCTGTAGGCATTGGTGTAATTCACAGGTAGATTGCAATTAGTGTGAGTTTTAATAACGTGGTCTGTGATTTAGTGTAAATTGTAAATTGATGGTAGGTTGCATTTAACGCAATCCAAAATTTAGTAAGGCTAGTTTGTGCACAGTTGAGGCTGGTGCATTTGCAAGTGTAGTTGTGGTTTCAGATGCTGCTAATCTTCATGTTTGCAAAATGAAGAGAGAAAAATTCTCAGGAAAACAGCACAATTTGATATAATTGTATAACATGAAAATAATCGTAGCAAAGTTACAATGGAATGGGGGTGTTGGAATGCTATGGAAGAATTTTTTTGCTTTCATTTTGCTTTCTGAAACTACTCTGACTTGTAAAACTATATTTAAGTTGTAAGTATATTCTTTTTATCCTTTACTGTAATACAGGTAGTCCTCGATTTACAATATTTTATGCACTTTAGTTTTCCCCCTCCCCTCTGTTTTAAGGTATGCATAAAAATGAACTAAGGTAAGGGACATGCATAGTCATGCAAACTTTGTCTTTCTGATTAAGAAATGTTAGGTAGGTGCAACAGTAATTCTTCTGTTTTACTGGAAAATCTAATATATTCAATGCTTTTGTGGTCTCCTTTTATGATTTTTCTGATAAATGTATCAATAACTTGTATTTGAAGATGCTGGAGACAGGTCTTGCTTGTAAAGTCATAAATCCTCACTTTGACATACAGTATATCACAGCCATTAATGTCTAAACTGGTGGCAACAAAATTGAGTACACCCCT